GTACATTGGATAATCTGATACCCTACTGTACCAATCCATCGCGCGGGCATGTCGATAGGTGCTCAGATAAGGCAATTCGACGAACAAGCGACGCAGCAGCTAGAGCTGTAGATCGCATCTTCACCAAATAACAAAATCAGATCCACAAGTCATGCACTTCCAACACCCTCTACTATCGCGTTTTTTCCCCGCACTATCCAGTCGGCTAAAAAGCACGTTTTGAAACAGTTGAAACCCCTTCCGTCGCGCAGTGTGTGCCCAATCGGTCCCTTTCTTCCTCCCTATCCGCCGCTCCACTGACTCTCTCTCTCTCTCTTCTCGCCACTTTCAAATATTCTCCGACCCCCCAACAGTCATTTGCCCTCCACACTGAGTTGCCGTCAACGGCCATGACGTCGCCGCAAGTGCCGCTCAAGATCGCGTTCAACGGGGACATCCACCGCACGCGCGTCGACCTGCGCGACCTGACGCTGTCCCGTCTCACGCAGCTCATGGCGCAGACCTTTGGCCTGTCGCCAGCGGACTTTGTCGTGCAGTACCGCGACGCAGAAGGCGACTGCATCACCGTCGAGACCGACGCCGACGTGCGCGAAGCCGTGCGCGCGTTCCAAGACGCGCAGCAGCAGTCGCTCAAGTTCTCGGCCCGTACCCGACGCCAAGTGGCGTTCCAGGAGCAGGTGGCGGACCCACTGGTCGCGTCCGTGGAGCAGCTCATGCGGGCGCTGGCCGGAACGCTCGAGCAGCTCAAGTGCGACGCGCACTTTGCGTCGAGTGCGGCGCCGAACGTGGTGCGGGACGAGACCGCTCGGGACGCGGCCGAGTCCCCCAAGACAGCAGCGAGCGGCTTCTCGAGCTTCGCCCAGGGCCTCGTGGGTCAGATCAACCGCTTTATCCCCGAGAAGAAGGCGGGCGAAGCGCCAGCGGCGCTGCCCAACGTGCCGGCGGCTCTGTCGGACCCCGAGCCAGCGGTGCAGGCCGAGGCGCCACCTGCGCCGTTGGTACCTGGTGGGGGGACGGACGCGGCCGCGCCGACGCCGCTCGTTGCGGCGACGCACGAGACGCCGTCGATTGCGTCGTCGGTGGCGTTCTCCGAGGCGGAAGTCAAGTGGGCCGAGCAGCTCTCGGTCGTGAGCAGTATCCTGCCGAACGTCAGCCCGGCGCGCATCATCGACGTACTGGAGAAGAGCGGCGGCGACCTCAACGTCGCGCTGAACGTGCTCACTGAAGAGAACTGAGGAGACGGCAGACGACGCGCTGTGCGGTGGCGCGCGCGCGCGCTTGTGTGTGTGTTTGTGTGTGCCGGTCGCGTGTTGTCCGACGGACACACGTAGAGCACGTGCAGCTCAGGTCCCTTTTGCTGGTCGTGTCGTTTTCGACAGGCGGTACGACAACGACAGAGTGAGTCGCCTCGTGACGGCACTGGTCTCCGTCCCGAGCAAATGTCGGCCGGCATCGATCTGCTCTCGGTCCATATTCGATGATAAGGAAGAAGAAGAAGAAAAGGCTTAGAGAAGGCAAAGCCACGTTCCCGCTGGTTTTCTTTCAGCGCTCTCTCCTCGGCTGGTCGTTGTACTTGATCGTTGTATGTCGCTCTGCTTTCTCGGCGTTTTGCGCCCACCCAAACGCCGCCAGACGATAACCTCTCAGATTCGTTATCGCTTGTTCGCTCGCTCGACCAATAGCTCCGTCGCGCTCGTCCATCTTTGCCATGAAAACGTCACGCGCGCAGCAGCTGCTGCTGCCGTCGGCGCCGCCCGCGCGGGCCCTGCGGTACCGCCGCAAAGTCCCACCACTGCCCGCAGAGAAGCCGCAGGTCGAGGAGCCGCAGCCGCAGCTGCCGGGACGCGTCCCCGCGCCGTCGCCGCCCGCGTCGAAACAACAGCTTACAGAGCTGCAGCAGACGCAGAATGCTCAGCCACGTGCACGCGCGCAGGAGCTGCCCGAGAGCCGCCCGCGTCGGCGGTCGCCAGCCGATCGTCGCTTCCGGTCCGAGTCACGTCGCTCGAAGCAGCCGCCGCTGCTGAAGCAGTTGCTGTGGAAAGCCAAAGCCATGCAGCCCACCCCGGCGACTCTGGCGCGGACACTGGTACAGCAGCAACGCGAGTGCACCAAAGAGGCAGAGCTGGTGCAGGAAGTGACAAAGGAGAAGCGCGTGGACGCAGCTGCTCGCGTCGCGTCGTCGACGTTTGTGGTCGGGCTGTCCAGTCAAGAGACGCAGAGCGGGTCGGAGGATGAGACGATCTTTCTGCCGTTTACGAGGGACGTGGTGCCAGCTGTGCGGACGTCGACTGCGTGGCAGGTGGGCAAGAGAGAGGAGAACGGCGTGGGAGGGCCGGACCGAGGGGACGCTGCTGGTCCCGTGACGCTGTCGGAGGAGGTGCTGGACGACGAGGGTGGACTCGACCAAGCAGCAGCGTCGACGCGCGTGACACAACGGCAGAAGTACAAGCTGAAGCAGAAACAGCGACGTGGCGCAGCAAAGGAGAAGAAACGGATGCAACATCAAATGAAGCAGGGCCACGAGCAGCTGTATGCTAGAGAAGACACGGGGTCGTCACTGGACGACGAGAACACAACGACAGACGCTGTTGATTCGCCCACGATGATGGACACGAGTGAGCCAGACGCGGCTGTATGTCGCTCCGTGCTCGTAGAGGTGAAGGAAGTAGAGCCATTTATTGTAGTGGGCGACGTAGCTTGTCCGGTCGTGGCTGGTTCCGATGAAGAGCTTGGTGTTGCTACTGCTGCGCCGGACGAAGGCGAGTTGGACGAAGCAAGTGCTCAGGAGGAGACTGTACAGGGGTCTTGTCAGTCTATGATTGACGCGTTGGATGAGATACGGGTGGAGTGCCGCGAGAGTTTTGTGGTGGCGAAGTCGGGTTTCGATGCGGCTTCGAGCTACGATTTCTTCAAACACCGTACGTTATTTACGGCTCTGTCACCAATCGCTGCTGATGTGTTGAAGACTTACCACTGTGCTGTGACTGTTGCGCGTGTTGTTACAGGCTTTTGCGAAATCCAGAGAGACACTGGCATTGTGTACTACTGACGTCGCTGGGCTTGAAGGTGAGCTGCGCTTGTTGAATCAAAATCGTCTTTTGCCACTCCCGTGCGTTATGCAGTTGTTTTCCCTCTCTCTCTCTCTCGCTCTTTACTATTATTGCTACGCCCTAATCTAATATGTGCTCGAAAGCCCATGTGCTGTGCTACGCGCCAAAGTACTCGTTGCTGCCCCTCACGTCCATTCGATCGTAACCAGTTATCACCCGTGGCGTTCTTGACGCATCGTACGGACCAGCAGATTCCGACCCGGCGTACGGATACGCATCCGTTGGTTCTCGAGACTCGTCTGGATCACACACCTCGAGAGGGTCGGCACGCTTCGGACGAAGCCATACAGCCCCGAACACCAAAGCTGCTGCCACGATACACCCTACGATAATAAACAGGATCGTGCTTGTGCCCAGCGCGCTGTTCCCACCACTTTCCCCATCATTTACCCGAGTCTGACTGCCGCCAGTAGCCAGCGGGTCGACGCTGTCCGCGCTGTCGTCCGTGATCGGAGGTAACACCAACACACCGCTCGACGAAGGGGATTTGATCGGCGGACGCGTGACGCGCTCGCTCTTCAACGAACCGGACGAGGGAAACAACAACGGCGGAGCTGGCAACGACGGAGGCGGCGGACCTGACTCTGACGATGGCCGCAACAGCGGGCTGGGCACCGCAACTTCTCCAGCATACGACTCCACGCCATTATCGCTGTCCACACTGTCCAGACTTCCATCCCCTCTTGACTTGCTTGCTGACGACCAGAAATCACCGACGTCAGCACTTCCCGAGCTCGCGCCTGACCCGAAACCCACATTACCCAACCATGGCGAGGGATCTGAGCTGCTGTTCATAGTCGGGCTTGCAGCCGTAGCACGCGGCCCGACGACTGACCCTGTGGGCCCAACCCCTCTCGATCCTGTCTCCGGATAACTTCCATTTCCACTTGACGAAAGTGCCGCGGGCATAGTCGTTGGCACTGGCGTAGACATATTCGCAACGGAAACTTCTGGAAATGATCCAGTTTCGTTGCTGGCATCAGAGCCAGACGCGGATCCGGATACCACAACGGTCGATGTCGCTGTTGTCGAGATGTCGTCTGACGACCCTGACGCTGGTCTCTGTTCGGACGGTGATGGGGTCGTCAACAGCTGCGGACTTGTCGCATTTGTCGTCGAAGCAACCGGTGGCCCATCAGCGAGGTCCGACCCTGACTGTGACGAAGACGTTGCTGTGAATGGAGGCAATGCCGGCGGACTCGGAGTAGGCGCGAGCGCCAAATCTGCATCAATCGAACCTGACATCGTGCTCCATTCTGGTGGAGGCATCATGTCGGCCGAGCCTGACGTCGACATCGATTCGGACTGACTCGCCGAGTCGGTCGAGCCTGACATTGAGCTCGATTCGGACTGACTTGTCGTGTCGAATAAGTCTGACGTCGTGCTCCATTCTGGTGGAGGCATCATGTCGGCCGAGCCTGACATCGTGTTCCATTCCTGTAGGAGGCATCATGTCGGCCGAGCCTGACGTCGACATCGATTCGGACTGACTCGCCGAGTCAGTCGAGCCTGACGTCGACATCGACACCGATTCGGACTGACTCGCCGAGTCGGTCGCGTCTGACATCGAGCTCAATTCTGGTGGAGTCGTCACTGGTCCGCTACTGAACGGGCTTGACTCGGACACAGTGACGGCGGCAGCCGTAACGGTTGCCGGAGTTGTAGGAGGTGCCACGGACGGCGCCAATGTCGTCGGCATCGGGATTGATGAACCAGCATCAGCGACTGGAGTTGCAGCCACTGGAGCAGACGTGGCGGCTAGTACAGACCCTGAAGGTGCCGTCGTCCAACCCGTAGCCCCTGCCACAGCAGCATACTCCGGCGCTACTGGAGCCAGAGTCGCCACCACCGGAGACGAAGGCGGCACCCCGTGATCTTCTTGCACTGCCGCAGCAGCTGATGTCGTAGCAACCATAGGGGCAGTAGCCGTCGCAGCAATTTTTGGGGTGGTCGCGCCCGCCACTGGATCCAACGTCAAAGCCATCGTCCGCGTGTCTCGACCGCCTGCCTCAGGTACTACCGACGCACGTCCTTCCGCAGCCTCTGCAGTTGTCGTCACTGGCAAAGCCTCTGTCGCGTTCGTTGTCCTCGTCATCACGTCAGCAGACCGCAGACACACGACGTTCCGCTCTTCGGTTTCGCTAATGAGGACGCAGCCCACTGCACCGCTAGTGCGGTCGACCACCGCACAGCAGCTGTCCGTCGGGAGCTCCGACTCGCCCAAGACGTCCCACTGACCCGCGAGCGGACACGAGAGCCTCTCGTCAGCTGCCCCGCGCCCAACGCCTTCGCACGGGCGCACGTGCACGCAGAAAGCCCCCGGCACGCCCACGACGTGCGCGGACTGCGCTCCGAGTCGGTCGCACTCGACGGCGTCGCTCGGCCGCCCCCACGCGCTTTCGGACGAGACGCCGAGCGCCACACTGAGGACGGCAGCCGCCCTCATCCACTGTGGCGATTGCTGTTGTTGCTGCGCGAGTGACGGACGGCGTCTGCCTACGGCCGCTCCGACGTCGGCGTCGTTGGCACGGCACTGCTGGACGTGTGTCTGTGGGTGGGGGTGTGGGGGTGTACGTACGTACGTACGTGTGGGGTCGTTGACCTCTCGTCCGAGTGAGTGCGTATCGCCTGCGGTGTCGGTCGTCTTCTTCTATTTATACGGCACGACCGGAGGCAGTCAAGAGGGTCTGAACACACAGCGAGCGATAGACTTTGACGCCCGAAGGAAAACAAATGTACGTACGTCTGTACGTCTGTACGTCGAGGGCGAGTGAACAAGTGGCTGCTGCTGGATGGGCCGTAGTAGGAAAGGGGGCAAAGCTGTGTGCGATGTTCTCTCGGCGATCAGCTGGGGACCAAAAGGAGCCACAACTCGGCGTGCCGCACGGCCGCTGATCCGCTCGACGGGGTCCACGACCACCTGCTCGAGTTCGTTTCGGGCTGTGGACACGCGCGCACTGTTGGCGTCGTGCACGAACGGGACGTACTGTCTGGCGATGGACACGCAGCATACACTTTTGTTTCACTCTCGCGTGACCCGTTCATTGCTCGCGTCCCGATCGTTGGCGTCGTCAGCGAGCAAAGATTCCGTCCGACAGCACGTCTCCGATCTTGAGTCGCTATGGACTGATACACGCACGAAGCAGAAGGAGTCGACGTCGTTTGGCCGCGCCAATGGCCCGTTGTGGTCCATTGGTTAGTTTGCTGGCTACTGGTTGCACTGTGAGCAGGAGCCGACTACTTGACAGGTCGTTGACGCTGCAGGTGGACGTGTGCGTCAAGAGGTCAGTTGCATTGAGATATGCGGAGAAATGATGTCCTGGCATGCCGTATAGCACAATGCAGCAGCTTTGGATCGACGTTGTGCGGTACGTGTTGTGCGTCGCACGCTCGCACAGGACGCTGGAAGACGCACTTGCGAGGCACCGAGAGATTGACTAGACTTCGATCGCGTCCTGCGTGTCGAGCAAAGGAAGACAGACTTGCATTTGCTTGGGCAAGTTGCACACACGACGTCAATGGTACAAGTAGTCGACTTGTGCTCTTGAGCCAAAAACAAACGCGGTAGCGCTCTGGTTCCCTGCAGTTCTTTGCCGACGGCGCGTCGATAGCAGCGTCTCGTATTCGTGCCGTGAGTCGCATTGCTCGACGTCTTTGCCGTTGCCAAGCAGACATCGTGGGCAGTGGAGACACGAAGACGGCTTCACCTTCTTTTGCGGTAAAAGCACATAGCTGCCTATGCTTCGGCCACAACTGCCAGTGCATGTTCAGAGTGCTATGTCGGCAACGAGTTGATCGCAGTCTCTTGTTGACAGCGATCCGACAGCTGTACTGCACGAACTCGTGGCTTGTCGTGTTTTGCTTGAACAACCACAAGCGCTCATTGAGCTGTTTATGGCATCACGCTTCGAGCGGAGAAACCAGCGGCGTGGGACTAATGGTTGACCAAGCCACGTCGAGCAGCTGCAGGGATCAGTTCGTGCGATGTGCAGTATCGTGTGAGGAACGTGTGGGAGACGTCGACTTCGAGCGACCCGAAAGAGGGCGAAACGTATCGCACGTTCACTTGTGCGTTCCAATGCGCTCGCAGTGGCCGTAGCTGCGATACCCTCCGCCTTTGAACCAAAGCTGGTTGGAGCTTGCAACGCACAGGAGAATGCCGGCTGAAGCAGCTACAAAAGCGCGCCGATGCACAAAAACACGTCCGTATGGTCAATTGGATTGAGAGAGACCCATCTGCCTGCATAGCCCGCGCTCGTGAGCGATAAGAGGCCTGCAGGTCATCTTGAGCCGGGAATGTTTCGCCTTCAGATGATGCAGCGAGTCGGTTCACCTTGACGAACTTGGATGGCGCTCGGGACAGGCACTGGATTTCCTCTGCTGCGTTCGTCGATCTGCACGATCGACCCCTGCACCAGCGATGTCATCGTCCACTGACCAAACGAGCTAAATGCATTCACACCGGTCTTGCCACCGCAAGCCAAGACCTCTTTGCTATCGCTCATAGCGCCTTTCGTCACGCGAACCTGCCACATGGACGTGTCTTGCACTGTAACGGGTCAGTCTCACTCGAGCAAGCGATGGTGCTTGTGCTTTTTTCGTAGGCGGGCGCGTTACCACATCCAGAGTCAAGTGGATTTTTTTGTCGTGCCCTGGACAGCGCCTCCACCAGTGCTACTCCTGCGTCCGATTTGGTAAGGGGGATGGATACTCGTGTCCTCGACGTCTTCCACCGCGTCCAGCCTCCCCTTCATCACTTGATGATGTCCGCTTGCCTGCCGGTTCAGCTTTCAAAGCAGTGCAAATAGTTTTCAGGTGCTGGAACCATTGTCGAATCCCCCCTCCCCCCGCAACTGCCTGATGCTCTGCACCCGACGCGGAGCCCGACCCGCGACGCAAGAGATCACACGAGCGAATGGTCTTCGGCGACAGGCAATGCGTTCACCCGTTGACGTCTCCTTAGACGGCGCCGGCTGATAAAAAACACCAGTGCTATCGTCACGATCGATCCACGAATTGCGGTCGCTGAAACCTCTTCTTCCCTTCCTCTAATCCATCCGCACGCTTGACTTGATGTTTGTATCGCGTGCCATTCGACAAAAGCGCACATCCGACCAACCGAATGGCTCTCGCACTCGCCCGTCTCGCTGCGCGTCGCGGCTTCTCTAGCGCTCACACACAGCGCACTCAGTTCGAGTCGCTCTGTCGGGAGCACGAGGAGCTGCTGCCTGCGTCGACTGTGACGAAGCGCTTGCTCGATTACCTGCTGGTGGCCCCCCAGGACGTCCAGCAAGTGCTCGCGGCCGACGCGATCCGTCCGCTGCCATACAAGACGCTGTATGCCCCGGCGCAAGTGCACCGACTCACGCCTCTGGTTCAATGGAGTTTCCAGCAAGTGATGACCGCTCCGGAGGTAGCCAATACCGTGTTCACTGCGCTGGAGCCGCACGCCAATATGGCCCGACGGGCCATGTGGCAGCAGTACTATCGACGCCAGTTCTTCCTGTCCGGAGCTCCCATGCGGGCGTACTTGCTGGCGTACAAGCACCACAAAGATCGTGTTGCAGCTACGCAAGGGGGACAAGGTGGGGTGGAAGGAGAGAGTGGAGGGGAGGCTCAAGAGGAGGTAGAGGCGAAAGGAGACGGCGACGTGTCTCTGAACAAGGACCTCGGCATGGACACCGCTTCGATCCTGACCGACAACAACGAGTGGGAATGGGTTCCATCGCATGTCGCCTTGAGTGTCGCCAGGGAGTTTTGCTTTCGTGGACGCTTCGATGAGGCCATTGAGGCCTACACGTCTTTGCCGTTGAGCATCCTCGCGCGCCAAAAAGTAGCGGCGATCTTGCATGACTATGAGCAGTACCCGTCTTTGCTTCGTATCTTCGAGATCCATCGTGCAACGGGAGACGCTGCGGTGCCACTAGACGCTGCACTGGAACTGGATGCGCTCAAAAAGATCGGTCGTGTCGATGAGGTGGACATGCGCTTCCAGGCACTGCCGGCCAAGGACAAATGCCGCGCGGATATCCAGCAACTCATGGAAACGTGAGTGCTAAGTGACTGCATCGTTCAGCACCATTTTGAAGTCTTCGCCGTCGTTTCGTTGCTCGAGAGCAAGGTGTGGGAGGCCATAACCCGTCGACATTCGGCAGTACCTCACAAGTAATTGTATCGCTGCTTGTCCAATCTGTCTTCGTCCCTATGTCTAAGAATTTACAAGACACTGGTGTCGATCGCCGGCAGACGCGGACTAAGTGGTCCATTGTGGCCATTGTGCGTGGCGATCGAACCTGTGTCTTCGATGTAGTGCCCACCTCATCGATACCCTTCGTCACAAAGTGGATGGCGAACAAACTAGTGGCCGCAGCACTTGATAAACAGCGACACATGCACATGACAATGTCAGCAGCGCCCAAGGAAACCTCGCCTGAAGACCGCATGCTCGCTGCTACCTATCTGTCGACGTAGCTTGTTCTCGGGACGTCGGCAACATGCCAACTAGTCTGGATTCTGATGCAGAGCCGTCTCCTGTGCAGCCGCGCTGGTAGACTCACATTTTGCTGTGCTGCTGGACTCTGATGTCCAGCACATCCCCACTCTGCTGCAGCTGAAGGTGTCATTGAGAGCACTGGCCTTACCTAGCGTATCGCTATCCTGGATTGTGTCTCCCGCATCGACGTCATGCAAAGCAGACGCAGACGAGTACTTACAAATGTCGGTGGCCGAGTCACAACTGAGGCAGAAGGTTCCAGGGGCCAGCGAGTCGGAACTTCGACAGATGCTTGCACCAGCGGCAGATAATGCTGCTAACTTACGCTGCTGCATGATGAGCTTCCCGGCTGGTAGCTGAGAAATGAAGTTCGTGAGCGATCTCTCGAAAGCGAGAAGCGTTGCAACTTGGACGAGACCGAACGCAAGCACAACGTCTCTTCTGATCGAGTCGCAGACAAGTGCGTCGACGTCCGTCGTATCCGCTCGTGACTCCATTGATGATCCAGACTCTTGACAGACGCTGACAAGCATCGGTCGTGATGGTTTCTTTGCGCGACAGGTCTACCAAATGAACGTGAAAAAGGCATGTCTCGTCAGCATTGTCAACGAATCGCTCACTGATAGCTCGAAACCACCGGAAACGCCATGCGCGCACACTTTTCTCGTTTGCTTCATCTTTTCTTTCCAGTCCGTCCGGAAGCGATTGCGGTGTGAAAGACAGCGAGGCTGCCATGACCGATTGAAATGGCATGGAACGCCCTCGCTTTAGCTCGTGGAAATTACCACAGATGAAGCTGAATAAGCGCCGCCACTGTCACGCATATCTCAGTTTCATCTACTCTGCAGGGTCCGCGTTCACGATTCACTTCCTCATTCACGCGATGTCCACTTACAAAATGAAAGCGCTGGTAAACAACTTGGACGGCTCTGGCTGAGAGAACGGCAGTCGTG